CCCAGGGTGTTTGTGAACTTTTGTGGTAACAAAAGCTACTAGAAGAGTTGAAATTGTCTGAAAAAGGAAAAATTTCCTTGTATTGTGATAACATGGCTGCAATCAGCATACCTCATAATCCTGTTTAACATGACCAAACGAAACATGTTGAAATTTATCAACACTTCATTACAGGTAGTGTCTTGACTTTGCTTCATGTATCATAGAGAAACAGCTAGCTACTGTGTTTACGAAAAGTCTTAACAAACGAATCTTCCATACTTTGATTTGCATGTTGGGCGTCTGTGACATCTTTGCACCAACTTGAGGGGAGTGTTGACTAGCTTGATTGTAGGAAACTTAATTTTAGAAGATCTGATTGTTGACTAGCTTCATTGTAGGAAACTTAATTTTAAGAGATTTGATTCTACTATAGGATTGTGAGAAGGCACGGGAGAAAATATGATATATTGATGTTGTGTATTTAATACAATACAAGAGGTCCTTATTTATAGCTAAACTATGTGAGTGAATACCACTCCTCTTCCAATGTGGGACAACTACACTATATACATAGCAGCTAAACTAACACTCCCCCTCAAGCCAGTGCATACACATCATATGTACCGAGCTTGTTACATATATAATCAATACGAGGACCAGTGAGGGACTTGGTGAAAATATCTGCAAGTTGATCATTCGACCTCACAAACTTTGTAGTAATCTCTCCTGAAAGTATCTTCTCTCTGACCAAGTGACAATCAATCTCAATGTGTTTAGTTCTCTCATGGAACACCGGATTTGATGCAATATGAAGGGCAGCTTGATTATCGCACACAAGTTCCATTCGACTGATTTCACCAAGTTTCAATTCCTTGAGCAATTGTTTGGTCCAGACTAGCTCACATGTTGCCATAGTATTGCTCGACATTTTGCTTCTGCACTAGACCGAGCAACCATATTTTGTTTCTTGCTCTTCCAAGACACCAAATTGCCTTCTACTAAAACACAATATCCAGACGTAGAACGTCTATCACAAAGTGATCCTGCCCAATCAGCATCTGAGTATCCAACGATCTGCTCATGACCTCGATCCTCAAACAGTAACCCTTTGCCTGGAGCCGATTTTATATACCGAATAATGCGAACAACTGCATCCAATGACTATCACAGGGAGAATTCATGAACTAACTTACAACACTCACAGGATAAGATATGTCAGGTCTAGTCACTGTGAGGTAATTTAATTTACCAACCAGCCGCCTATAGCTTGCAGAATCGCTAAGCGGCTCCCCCTGTCCTGGCAGAAGTTTAGAATTCGAATCCATCGGAGTATCAACAGGTCTGCAACCTATCATCCCTGTCTTCTCGAGAATGCCTAGAGCATATTTTCTTTGAGAAATAACAATACTTGAGCTAAACTGAGCAACCTCAATACCTAAAAAGTACTTCAATCTTCCTAGATCCTTAGTTTGGAAATGTTGGAAGAGATGCTACTTCAGATTGGTAATACCATCCTAATCATGGCCAGTAATAACAATATCGTCAACATACACTACCAGATAAATACAGACTTGAAGCAGAGTGCCGATAAAACACAGAGTGATCAGCTTCACTACGAGTCATGCCGAACTCTTGGATAACCGTGTTGAACTTACCAAACCAGGCTCGAGAAGATTGCTTTAGACCATAAAGTGACCGACGCAAGCGACATACAAGGCCACGAGACTCCCCCTGAGCAACAAAACCAGGTGGTTGCTCCATATAAACCTCATCCTCAAGATCACCGTGAAGAAAGGCATTTTTAATGTCCAGCTGATAGAGGGGCTAATGACGAACCACAACCATGGATAGAAAAAGGCGGACTGATGCCACTTTAGGCACAGGAGAGAAGGTATCACTGTAATCGAGCCCAAATATCTGAGTATATCCTTTGGCGACAAGACAGGCCTTAAGTCGATCAATCTGGCCATTGGGACCAACTTTGACTGCATAAACCCAACGACAACCAACAGTAGATTTACCTGAAGGAAGAGGAACAAGCTCCCAAGTACCACTTGTATGTAAAGCAGACATCTCGTCACTCATAGCTTGTCGCCATCCTGGATGAGACAACGCTTCACCTGTAGACTTAGGGATGGAAATTGAGGACAAAAAAGATATAAAAGCATAATGGGAGATGAAGGCATCCTATTAATTAAATAACAAGCCGTAAGAACTGCATCGCCCCAAAAACGCAACAGAACACAAGATTCAATTAGAAGTGTGTGAGCAGTCTCAATAAGGTGCCTATTCTTTCTCTCTGCAACCCCATTTTGCTGAGGGGTATAAGGACAAGAAGTCTGATGAATAATTCCATGAGAAGTCATAAACTGCTGAAACTGAGAAGATACATATTCTAAGGCATTATCACTGTGAAAAATGCGAATAGAGACACCAAATTGATTTTTGATTTCAGCACAAAAATTCTGGAATATAGAGAATAACTCAGAACGATCTTACATTAAGAAAAGCCAAGTATATCTTGAGTAATCATCAATGAAACTAACAAAATAACGAAATCCCAAGGTTGAACTGACTCTACTAGGACCCATATATCAGAATGAATGAAGGAGAAAACAAACTCTGCATAACTCTCAACACTACGCGGAAAGGAAGCTCGGGTATGTTTCCCAAGCTGACACGACTCACAATCTAATGTAGACAAACTGGATAAACTAGGCACCATCTTCTGAAGTTTGGATAAACTTGGATGTCCTAAACGTCTGTGGATTAGGTCTGGAGGATATGTAACTAAACATGTTATGGAAGGACTGAGTGAGTTAAGGTAGTAAAGGCCTTCTGATTCACGTCCTGTACCAATTGTTGTCCCGTATTGCGGTCCTACATAATAAAAGAATCATTAGTAAAATATATACCACAATGGAGGGCACGAGTCAAACGACTAACAGATGCAAGACTAAAAGGACAGTCAGGGACAAAAAGAACGGAATCTAGGGTAATAGAAGACAAGGGGTTAGCTTGTCCAACTCCTTGTGCCTTAGTTTGACATCCATTGGCTAAAGTAACAGTGGGAAGAGAATGTGAATATACGATATTCGACAAAAGTGATTTATTACCAGAGATGTGATTAGAAGCGCCTGAGTCCATGACTCATGGTCCAAGAGTACTAGACTGGGAAACACAAGCAAAAGAATTACCAGCAACAGAAGTATCAATTTGGGCAACTGAGGCTACTTGTGGAGATGTCTGCTTACTTGCTCGGTACTGCAGGAGCTCGTTATATTCTTCTTTAGATACAGAAAAATTACGTATAGTCTCGGTCTAAGCAACATAAGTATTTTTGGGTGGACGACCATGTAAGGAATAGCACATTTCACGAATGTGTCCAAGTTTGTAACAATAAGAACACTTGGGTCTAGATCTCCCAAAACAACCTCCTCCTCGTCTGTTCTCCATAGTTTGGGATGCCCGAACATCCACTGTCTGCGATGCGAGAACAGGGGAATCAAGTATCTATGAAGAGATCACTAGGTGACGTGGTGCTGCAGCAAGGGAGTAATCGAGAGAATAATTCATCAACTGTGGGAACAGTCGAACTAGCCAAAATCTGGTCTCGTACTGAATCAAGATCATTAGGAAGTCCCGCGAGTGTAAGAACTAGAAACATCTTTTGTCGCTGCTCTTGTTGTTTTGTCACTCTAGCAGAAACTGGAATTAATGTCTCAAATTCCTCCATGACTGCTTGTACTTGACCCAAGTAAGTAGACATATCTAAGTCTTGCTTCTTTAAGTTTGTCATCCGTGATATCACATCATAGAAGCGAGATATGTCATTTGTGTATAAGGTACGAGCCTTTGCCCAAACCAAATAACATGTCTGGAATGGACAAAATAAAGGCATCAACTTGGAATCAATAGAATGCTACAAGATGCTACATAGCTAAGCATCAATCTTTGCCCAAAGCGCGATCGCCTTTTCATCTCCTTCGCTAGACTGTTTGATTAGATGATCTTGAACACCTTGACCTTTACACCACAACTCTAGAGATGAAGCCCAAGCTAGCTAAGTAGTTTGAACCTCCCATTAAAGGTTCCGAAGTAATCATAACACTAGAGCTTCCAGAACTCATGTTTTTAGACCCAAAAGCAGACATCGTTGCAAATTATTACCAAATTAGAGAAATAATCAAATGTAATCCACTGAAACAGAGTAAGGGACAGTGAAACAGAACAAGAAAAATTCTGTAGCACCAAATAGTACTATAGCTGCCGGAAAATTTCAAAGTGGTCGGAATGAAATAAAAACAGCAGGGGTAGGATCGGAATTACCAGGCGACCCAGCTATTCTGAATGAAGTTTTTGAAAAAATGGCCGGAAGTTACTGTACGCGCCGGCGCGTGAGCTTCTGGTGGCGCGTGGGGGCGTGTGAGGAGGCTACTGCCGGAGAGTTTTACTGGGGTTTGGTCGTCGGACAGTGACTACTCTTATGGTAGTGTTGAATTTTGCACAACACTAATCGAGACGAAGCAGACACAAAACAGATCTAAAAGTCGCTGGAAAAAGACTTCCGGTGATTGATTTCTCTTCCCGGAATCGCTGGAATTTATGCACAGCGATAAATCTCTCATGATTGCTCTGATACCATGTGAGAAGGCACGGGAGAAAATATGATATATTGATGTTGTGTATTTAATACAATACAGGAGGTCCTTATTTATAGCTAAACTATGTGAGAGAATACCACTCCTCTTCCAATGTGGGACAACTACACTATATACATAGCAGCTAAACTAACAAGGATATTCTAATTGATTTGTATAATAGCTGTAATTGATTTCCTTCCTAAATTAGCCATAGGAACCTCTGTATAAGTACTACTTCTCATTGAAATGTAAAGATACACAAAAATAAAAGAAGCTTCATTCTTCTTGAAATCTTCAATAACAATAGCAACAAAAATGATGACAATGATGATGACATCGTCGTAATAGAAAGTAAAGATCCATAGGATGGTAAACCTGGCAACTCCTTTTAAACCTCCAGAAAAATAAGGTATGGCTTCAACAGCATTGGCAGCTATGATAGCAACAGAATCAGACGGAGTCACGAAGAATCTGACCGAAAAGAACAAGGGAAAACAAAAATTTTAAAAGATAAAATTCCAAGCAAGGAGTTAAGTTCAACAAATAAAAACAAAAGGAAGTTACCTTTTCCCAAGAATCATGTTACGGTCTGCATCTCCATCAGCAGCTGCCCCAAATTCTGGTGGATTGGGTTCAGAATGTGATTTAGACAATCCCATTCGTGCAACTAACTCCTTTGCATAGGTCAGATTAGGATCTGGATGTCCTCCACCAAAGTCCTCCTGATTCAATTAGTTATACAGAAAAATGACAGAATTATAACTTTTTTCTTTAAATCTCTTCCTATTACATTGCGAAAGGGGGAGGAAAAGGATCCAGTGAGAATCAAACCCACACCCATTATGGTGATCCCCTGTACATCTAGAATATAAGGATTGATGGTAGAAATAGTTGTTAAGAGGAAAACATAGAGATAACATATCATTGAGAAGAAGAATCACAATGCAGGGAAAAGGAAATGACCTTAGGAACACAGTTCAGTAGAGAGCTTTCTTTTCCACCAAGCTCCTCCACGAAGATGCGTTTAGCATAATATCCAGCAACACCATGAAGTGCGTCATAACTATGGTATATAAAGATGTTAGTACCCAGCAGATACATTTAACAGGAATAGGTAACTTATGAGATGATATGCTGCAACATTGCATCACAAGGTCTCTACACGCATACCAGAAACCAAATTTTGGAGAAGAGAGCAACTTCTGGATTGATGGGAAGTCAAATATTGACCTGGAAATAGAAGCGACAGATCAAGTTTTGAATCAGAAGTGCAACCATTAAGAATACCTGGATCACAGGCAATTTTACAAGAATAAGATATTACTCTATCAAATAAATGATGATGATGATAAGGTGAGTTCTGGCAATCACAAAACAACTGCTTCCCGTATAATTAAAAAATTGAAGATGCACGCATCAACCCGTAGTTCCATCATGCACCTTAATACTATGGAAGGGAACTACACATTCAGCAACATCGATGGCTGCTCTAAATTATCGTTTGAACTTGACATGAACATATTTGACATACATCCGAACTAAAAGAAGACAGACACATATTGAATGATATGCCCAAAAGAAAAAATAATAGAGAGGGTGGGGGGTTAATTCATACTTCATCAGTTTCACATAATCAATAGTTGAATCGAAGACATCAACATCAAATTTCCCATCTGGGCCCTCAAAGCTTGAAACGCCAGTTTTAGAGATGTCCACCTCAATTCAAATAGGGCATTGTCAGAAGAGTACCTTGATCAATCAAAATAAGTACTTAAATGCACATTTAAATATAATAGTTAAAGAGTAGATTCTACATCAGGCAGGCCCTCTGCAATCAAATACTCCTTTATTGTCGTAGTGTTCTCATAGATCTTATTAGTAACACCTTCTGGCGCAGGTCCACCATTTTCCATGTTGTACTTAACTCCAAAATCCTATAAGTGAAAACATGGAAAGAACCTTGAACCATCAGTCAAAGCTGGTAATAGTTATCATCAAGTTATTCAAGAAACTGCAATAGGAGAATTTACAATTAATTTGCAAACAATGGTTCTGCATCTTCCCACGTTTCTCTCTTTCCCCCTTCAGAATAAACATGTTTAGATAGCATGTACCAAGTTGCATGCATCCACTTACAGTTGAAGCAACACTTTGTGTGATTCCTTCCTCCCACCCCCACCCCCAACAAAATCCCTGGCATGAAAGACAAATGGGTCTCCAAAAAGCAAAAAGAGAAGATACAACTTCCTCTTTGAAAGACAAAACACTGTAACATAAGGATTGGAAATTACTCGAACTATAAAGCTATTTAAGACTGCAGAGACTGATTTAACGATTAGACTCAATCGGCAATAGTTTTTACCAATAGAGAAAGACACTCAGTGACTCAAAATCCATGTTAAATATATATTAAAGCATATCCATGTGAAGACCTCTGAAGCAAAATAATAAAACATATGAAGGCTGACCGAAAATGAGTTTTCTGTAATTAACAACGGCACTTTGAATTCTGACAAAACGGGAATTACATGCAATGATTATTATACCCCAAAAGAAAAAAAGAAAAAAGGGACTACAAGCAAGTTATAGCAGGAGCAAAATTTGATGCCACAAGCTTCAAATTGAAACGAGAATGCAAAACATCCTTTACAATTGTCTATATTATGGGCTCCTAGAAAGACCATGAAGCTAGTCAGATACTTCGATCGACACCTTTTTACATTTGATAATGTGAAAACAAAGATGAAGTACAAATACTTTAGAATCGAAGAAATATCCATAAAGAAAATATTGCTGGTAGCTACCTCGTGAGGGCCACCTGGGTTGTGACTTGCTGTCAATATAAATGCCCCATTAGCTTTAGACCCCTGTGTTCAGGATCAGGCATTAACAAATCGTGGAATGATGTAAGGGCTACATACATTTAAGTCAAAAAATCTGATGTAGCTTTTAGCGGCAGAGGGCTTACATCAGCCCCGACTCTATCGCGAACAACAGCTGATACAGCAGGAGTGGACATAAGTCCATGTTGACCAACCCAAACACGTCTTACTCCATTTGCTGCAGCCATTTTTGTAATGATCTGTAATGAAGCAGATATAGGCATGTTAAGTTGTCAACAGCTCTTCACAAAAACCACCCTACACTCATCAGTACTCCAAATTTAATTATTGTGCTAGCGAAATATGGGGTCTCCATAAAAAACATGAAATGAGAAACTGTGTTTCAGTTTCAGAATGTACTATAAGGAGAGGAAATTATTAAAAAATTCAGTATATTAATTATGAAGAAGATATAACAGTCAAAACCAAAGAATTCCTTTGAAAATTTTTTGATAAAATTCTACCTGGATAGCATCCTTGGAGAAGTAGCGGCCATCACCAGAAACAACAAGTGTGGCACCTTTAGAGATGAAAAAAATGAAATTACCAAGAAGGGGACTAACTAGAGTAGCATGTATCTAATCTCCCACGCCATATAAACCTTTAAAGAAATTCATGAAAAAGATTAGGATATCGAATTTCGTACCTTTGACTTTGTCAGATCCAAGAGCATTGAATGTTGCCTGAACAAAGTTTTGCAAGTAATGAGGTTGTGTGAACACCTTCACCTGAAACAGTTCATGCAGCTTCATGTTAGACTCAACAATTCAAAGCAATTTGAATACAAGAGAAATGGTAGTCGCTAAGCGCTTATGTCACACAATTGTTAATTCTGTACAAGTTAGGACATAATCATGAGAAGTTAACAAGATAAAACAGAATTTTGACCATTTTATCTAGATCGCTTTTAATATTTAATACGTAAATATATTCATTTCTCTGTGTTGACACGAGCACAAACAATACTAATTTGCTGAAAAAGGAATCTAAAGAAGAAGAGGCTAGACTAGAAACATACTTTATGTCTGTCTCCAAATATTTTTTTACCAATCATATATTTGAAACGGCCAAGAAGCCTACTTGAATCTTGATTATTGCTTGTACCTTGTAAAAACTTTGAAATTGGATAAAAATCATATACTGATTGATTCGCAATATAGAAAGCATGAAGAGAGAGTCGGTATTCAAATTTAAACAGCTTAAGATAATCATATACAAACACACACAGACACACACACAAATAAAAAGGGCAAGCATGAAGCTTTAAAATAATTAAGTTATATTCAGTGGTATCAACTAGATGAAACGTATGTCAATTGTATTAGCATGTACAGTACATAAACTCTGCTGAAAAAACAAAGAAACTTAAAAAATTAAACAATTTTGCATCAAACAACAAAATTATCAGATTCATCCACAGAGTTCACATCATTCCACATATACAGATCCCATTAGCTAATGTACACATAACCCTTAGATTTATTGCTGCTGATCGACAGTCGTAAGATTTGCAGAAAGATCAGTAATATCAGAAATATAAGCAATGAAACAAAAGGCATTCAATACAACAGATCGAATTCAGCACCTGCACTGAAAATCTTTGGAACAAAAAATTGAACAACAACAATGTCAGTGATTCAGCAAAAATAGAAGGAGATCAACGTGAATCCTACAGGAATGCGGCAAAAGAACGAAGTCTTAAAAACGTCAGTTGCATTGCTTTGTCTGTTCTATTTATTTTTATTCAATTACCTTCTTCCGGAGACCAGAAGTTCCAGGTTTCTGGCCATCAAATGGCGTCGTCCCGACGCGAGTAACCTTGAACGCCACCATTTCTTACGTTTTCTTCTTACAGTATGTAAATCAATCAATCGATCAAATCAATCAGCTACTGTTTAAAACTAATCAGCAAAAAATAAAACAGAGAATTCAGAAGCATAAAAAGGAATCGAGTTTATGCGTAACTCAATAAAAGATGACCAGAGAAGAGTGAGCGAGAGAGTAATGCTTACATAAAGCTAAAGACGGGAGGGAAAATGAGAGGAGGACGCGTGTGCTTCCGTCTGTTTCGAGTTTGGAAAAAGGAAGTGACTGTGTCCAATTATTACTAGTACTAGTACGAGGGAAAAAATGAAAAACGTTAGATGAGGTCACGAGCATTAGTCGGTGGGCTTTTTGGAACCTCAAGTTTGTAACAACTTGTTTGGTTGGTCATCGTTATATAACGATAAAAAGTGTTATTTTATGCAACGATAAATTTCATGTTGTAGCTTCGTTTTCTTGCTTTTTTCTCTATTCTTGTCGTTCCTCAATATTAATAATCATATTTTATTCTTTATCCTACTTTTTTACATAATAATTCTACTATTATCCTATTTTTTCTTAGTAATATTGCAAGTTTATTTTTCATATTATGGGTATGTGATATTATGAAACGACGAAAAACGATATAATCTATCCAAACATTGTATTCATCAAACAATACAATATGATACATTATGAAACGACATGTAACAACAATCCAAACAAGATGTAACGCAATTTAGATCTCCGCTTTCTGCTATTTATAACTTTGCGGTGTACGGTATTGGATGACAAGATGCGGGACGCGAGGCTCAGATGGTTCGGGCACGTATGGAGGAGAAGCCCAGATGCCTTGGTAAGGAGGTGTGAGCGATTGGCTTCGGCGGGTACGAGAAGAGGTAGAGGGCGGCCTAAGAAGTATTGGGGAGAGGTGACCATGCAAGACATGGTGTGTGTTGGCCCAAGTGAAGGTTAGTTTTGAAGACTGACAAAGGAACTCAGACATGAACTAGGTCCATCCTAGTGGAGCACAAATACGGATAGACTTAAGCATGTGAGATGCACGTGAAGGAGATAAACCTAACTTGCTAGAAGTAATATCTCCTGATCTTGATCGAAAAGGTTGCATATTGGATAAGGAGAAGGACTCCTTACTCAAAGAGAACACGATTTAAGAAAGGAAGAAGTTAAAGGTTGAAATCAACTAGAACTCTTTCACCAAGGAAGAGTACATCAGAATTCTAGTCAATCTCTATTTACTAACTCTATAAATATCAGTGTTGTTCTCTTTTATAGGTAACACACATAAGCAGAAGTTAAACGTGAATGGAGAGCAAAATAGCAAGGCAATTTTGCAAGCAGTTCATGTGTGATTCGAGTGTGCAAACCTAAAGCTACTTGAACTAGATAGAAGAACCAGTTCCAAGTGTCTGTCTTTTATTCTAGTTCAATTGTAGTAGGTGGTTTCATATTGTACCTTTCAGCTTTATCTAGAAGCAATTGTATTAGGTACTCAGAGTTTTCACGTTAGAATTAACTTGAAATTGTCGCAACAGTTTGAGGTTGTGTGCTACAACGGGATTAGAGTTAGTCCTAGGTTTACAAAAGAGTTTTTGTAAATGCAGTTTTTGGCTTAGTGATTTTAGTGGAGAGTTTGGGAAAATCTTACTGAAAAGTAGGTCGTGGTTTTTTCACCTTTTGAGCCAGGTGTTTTCCACGTAAAATACTTGTATTCTTTACTTTTCGCATTTACTATTTCTGCAATAGTAGGCTAAGGAACACTCAGAAGAACCAGGTCCTTCCATAACCAGTTTAAGCGATAAATTGGTCACCACACAAATCACCCTCCATCTTGTGTGGTATTGAAGTATAAAACATCAATTTGTATCAGAGCCAGGTTATCCTTGAAGAGGCTAACACCTTAAGAACATATTAAGATGAGTGCACCACCTAGGAACTGGGAAGGATAATCCACTGTAAGGCCTCCACTCTTTAATGGCCAATACTACTCCTGGTGTAAAAACAGGATGAGAGATCACATCATTGGAGAGGATAATGAGCTATGGGACATTGTCACTGATGGTCCCCTGGCTACCTTGAAAAAGAATGTTGAAGGAGTAGATGTGCCAAAAACAAGAGTTGACTGCAATGCTGAGGACTTGATTAAGTGGGAAAAGAATGCTAAGGCCAAGAAATGGCTTCTGTGTGGACCTGGTCCAAACGAGTACAGTAGAGTTCAAAGTTGTACCACTGCAAGGAAATCTGGGACACTTTGCAAGTGGCTCACGAAGGAACTCCTCAAGTGAAGAGATTAATAGGAAGACTGATGTATTCTCAGTATGAGAATTTCACCATGAAGGAAGGAGAAACCATCCAAGAGATGTATACAAGGTTCAATGAACTTAAGTCTCTTGGAAGGATTATCCTTGAAGAAGACAAAGTTGAGAAAATTTTGACAAGGCTTTTGCCAGTCACTTAGGAAAGCAAAATCACTGCTATTCAGGAATCAAAGAAAATTGTCACTCTCAAGTTGGACGAGCTAATTGGATATCTTGCTGCCTATGAACTTAGAAGGGAAACCATGAAGATGGATGCACCCAAGAAGGAAAGGAGTCTGACTCTCAGAATCACTGAAAGTGCTGATCTAAAGGAGGATGAAATGGCTATGATCACAAGGGATTTCAAGAAGCATTTAATGAGGAAAGGGTTCTTCAAGAGGTGCAACCTACAACAAACCAAGGGTTCCTGAAAAACAGACCAACGAGGGTTGCTACAAATGTGGTAAGACTGATCACATCATCAAAAATTGTCCTTAGTGGGAAATTGAATGGAAGAAGGAAAGGGCTGAACGAAGAAATAGGAAGAAGGAACAGGTTCATCCGAAGAAAAATAAATGATCAACAAAGGCTATGGCTGCTGCCTGGGAGAAAGCTCAAATGAGGATTCAGAAGATAAAGATGGAGATGAACAAGCACTTATGGCTATTGGAGAATCTGATGAGGAATTAGAGGTAAGTGATTCATCTCAAAGACAAGATTAAGTTTTTGTCTAAAGAAAGTCTATCTTAGTTACTTCTAGATTTTATTGATGAATCTGAGGTAATAAACAATGAAAAGGAACAGTTGTCTAAGGAATGTGTAATCTTGAAAGCTAAGTGCAAAAATCTGAAACTCAGGGCTAGTGAGAGTGATAGTAAAAATGCTGAGTTGAAGAACCAGGTTCTTGAACTTGACACCACTGTGTTAGAGCTTAGATCTGAAAATTTAAAACAGAAATTAGGAACAGGTAAGAACAAAGCTGACACTCACATCTCACGTTAGAATAAAATCTAGGAAAAATGAAAGATGAGTTGTACAAAAGAGATGAGCAGATAAGAGTCCTAAAAGAAGATCTAAGCAAGGTCAAGCATGAGCTAGACAAAACTTGTAAATGGAACAAGTATTCCGATCACTTTCATGGCTACAAGAACACCATAGTAGCAATAAGAGAGGACTTGGCTACGGGACCCATGCACCTAAGTGGGATCCCAAAAGCAAGTACATCACACTTCCTGAGAATAAAATCTGCACACACTGTGGTAAGATTGGTCACTACAAAAGTGAATGTACTGCAAAAGAAAAGGCTAGTCAAAAGAACAGAACATTTGTTCAAGGGAAAAATAGGCTGCCAGGATGGGCTAAAAAGAATTTAATTCACCCTTTTGCCTATAGAAAGGGACCCAAGTTTGGGTTCCTAAGACTAACCCCTGATTTCCTTTTGCAGGTCCAAGTGAAGGGGAGCAGCCAAATATGGTACATGGATAGTGGCTACTCAAAGAACATGACTGGAAGCAAGAACCAGTTCCTTTCACTTGAGGACCTCAAAGGAGGTAATGTCTCATTTGGATATTCCAAAAAAATTGAGATCATTGGGGTTGGAAAGGTAGGTAAGACAGACTCACACTCCAATGAGAATGTCTACTTGATAGATGGCTTGAAATATAGCTTGATCAGTGTATCACAACTGTGTGACAGAGGTAACTTGGTAGCATTCACCTCTACCAAATGTTTTGTGATAAATCTTACCACTGACAAGATTGTTTTGCAGGGAAAAAGAGTAAACAATATATGCATTGTAGATCTCTCCACTCTTTCAGAAAATGAACTCATCTTCTTAAGTGTGTTGGACAATGATCCCCTCCTTTGGCACAAGAGACTTGGACATGCAAGTTTAAGTCAACTTAACAAATTAGTCTCCAAGGACCTGGTGATAGGACTTCCTAACATCAAGTTTAAGGAATACAAAGTTTGTGAGGCTTGTGCAAGGGGGAAGCAGGTAAGATCCTTTTTTAAATGCAAGAAAGTAGTAAGTGTACACGGCGAAATCGGAGGATCCAATTTCTCGTCATTAAGGCATTTCAGAGGGTCATCTCGAAGCCTCGAGGCTACAAGGCTATGGTCGAGTCTCCTCCCTCGGGATTCGTCGACACTCGACCTAGGGATAGTGGTGACCATGACCATGATAGGGAAGGGGAAGTTCCCAAGGCGCACGGCTAGGACTGACAACGCCTAGCCGGTCTACTCTAAACCCGAATCAGGATGTCATGTCTAGTTGTCCCATCTCCATATCTTTACAATTAATGCATTTTGTACTATGTTGGGATTCTCCTTCTATGTAAAAGGGATCCTTGACATTTTATAAAACCCTGTTTCTCCAACTACTCCACATGAAAAATAGAAGAATGTTCTCTTTGCTCTCTAACATACTCTCTTGATATTATTACTCTCATTTATTACCTTCATATTTGTTCTTCATTTATTGCTTATCATTGGCCATAAAGAGTCTTCGTTGATTATTTTATAACTGTTAAGCCCTACCCCGATTACCCTCGATAGCTCGTAGCCGAGCCCTGGGATCGATCTCGAGGCCCCGAATAACTAGCCTATCGGTTTGATTATAGCTTTCTCCTCAACTTTATTTTGTCTCTAAGTCTCACATATCTAGCATCAACTGCTTAACAACTAGCATAAAAATAGATCACGTATTTTTAGAGTCCCATCAACAAATTTAATTGTTATTACTATTTCCAGGTAAACAGTTTGGCGCCCACCATGGGGCTAAAAAAATAGTGATTATTTTCTTGCTGGTTTCATTACACAACGCAAGTTATCTTTCATGTTTTTTCTTGTCCAAAGATCTTTGATTTCAGGTCATAATGTCTGATTCAGTAAACAACATTATTGAGAACCATAGAGAAAATGGTGTGGCTGTTCCAGGTGTTGGTGAGCCGCCACAAAATCTTGAGTACGCGCCAAGACCAATTCCGGCGGATGAAGT